GTTGTAGAACAGTATACACAATGGGTGCACTTTAACAGGAACATTCTGGTATAAAAATATTCACCACTTTAATGAATATGCCACAGCCAATGACGCAAAACAATTATGACAAATTACCTGTGAAAAAATGTGCTTTCACACAAAAAGTTGCTAAAGATACCATGTTTGATGCAGTAGCAGATTTGTGTAAACATGCTACTAATGTTTAAGTTTTTGATATCAAATGTTTTAACTTTTGATATTGATATTAAGTGTGTCGTGTGATGGTATTTAGCAGAAAAAAGGCTTAACATCATTAAACAGTGTCTTTTCTGCATTGTCAATAGACACTTGAAAAGTTTTTATTTAAGCCCAATGGACGAACTCGCACATTTGTAAAAATAATTACAAAAGATCTGCGAGCGGTATGGAGACCACTGGTAAAAATCGTGTATTTTTAAGATCTATTAAAAAGAAAAAATTTTGATATGTGAATTTTTCAGGAGACAGAGATAATAAAAGTTTCATTAATGTCAGAGGCACTTACCCTGGTATTCAAGTTAATAAGTTAGAATGTGTGGGATGCTAATGAATTGTTCAACAGTATTATTTGGGACTGATTACCAAAAACAGGTAATCGTCACTCGATAGTTTCAAATTTGGTGTGTACAATGCCGTAGCAAACTTTAATATTAGTATGAAAGCTTTAGTGTTAATTTTATTGAATGAATGAAAAAAATATAGAATGAGTGAAAAAAATATCATGTTATAGAATGAAAATATTATCTTATATTATAAAATATTATAAAAATTAGAAAATGTTATGAACATATTATAAAATAATATGTTGTAAAATAATATGTTGTAAAATATTATGTTATAAAATATTATGAAAATTAGAAAATATTATGAACGCATTATAAAATATTATGTTGTAAAATATTATGTTATAAAATAATATGAAAATTAGAAAATATTATGAACGCATTATAAAATATTATGTTGTAAAATATTATGTTATAAAATATTATGAAAAATATTATGTTGTAAAATATTATGAAAAATATTATGTTGTAGAATGAACGAAAAAAATAAGTTAAGACAACAATTAAATAGAGCAAAAAAAAAATAAAGACAATAATTTTGAAAAAAATTAAAGAGTAACAAAAATTTAGAGAGTATAATCTATGAACCAGAAATATTTTAAATACTATTTTTTAGATTTAAAGAAGATTGTTTTATTGTTTTTTACATGTTTTGGTGTTATTTAATTAAAAAAAATTTAGTTTGCTTTTCTCTCAGTATAAAGTATTTCAAAGGCCGTCCATTAATGCTCGCCAACCATTCAAGATCCTAAAATTTTCTGTGGATGTTTATTTAATGGTTTAGAGTGTTTTAAGTTGAATAGTTTTTTGTTTTTTTTTTGTTTTACACCTGCTCTTTATGCTGTTTTAATTTTTTACACCTGCTGTTTTACACCTGTTGTTTTACACCTGTTGTTTTACACCTGCTGTTTTACACCTGTTGTTTTACACCTGTTGTTTTACACCTGCTGTTTTACACCTGCTGTTTTACACCTGTTGTTTTACACCTGCTGTTTATGCTGTTTTATATCATATTATTGAATATTGGACTTTGACTTCAAAATACCTGAAATTAAGTTCTGTTTAACTTAAAACACTCTTCTACTCTATATAAACACCATGTAAAAATTTCAACTTGGGTTGTTTTGTTCTCTTTCCACAATATTGGACGGTGTGAAACCTGTTTTTGCTATTTTTTGGATTTTTTTTTATGGTTTCTATAGCAACAGTTATAGCATTAGTTATTATTCTATTTTTTTAATACTTTTTTCTAATTTTTTTTATATATGCTATTGATATGACAATTTTTTTTTTCCAAATAATGATTCAAAAATTAAAGGGGATTTTTCCCTTAAAAGCACATATTTAAACAGCGTCGGAATTTATGACCTCGAAATCATTAAATTATTTTTATTGCTAACTATATTTTTAAATAGTTCAAATTTAGATAAAAAGTTTTCTTTACTTTTTGTCTTTTATTAGTTAATAACGTCTTTGAATAAAAAAAAAGGTGTAAAATTTTGTAAATATTCAATCAAATCTTTTTTTAAATAATTTTACAGTTTTAATTATCGTGTAAGCCAGTTTAAATAGATATTGCAAAATGCCCCCATCCCTTTTTGGGATGAGGTGCAAATTATGTTAAACATTAAAAAAGCTTGCTACGGCATTAACTTAAATATGTTTAGCAAATAATAGGATAAAACACTTATAGAAAACTTTGAAACAAATTAAGATAGTTGCTACTTAAAGTTATAATAAAAAAACTCAACAAAATACCAAAAAAGTGTTTTTTCAAAGGTGGCTTTCACAAAATTTTCAGAAATTTTCAACCCAAGTTCAAACCATAGTCAATAGAAGTTATAAATTAGTCGGGAAATCTCGCCTAAATAAAGTTGTAAAATTATTTCAAAAAATGACGTTGAGAACTCCAAACCGCATAGAATTTTAGTAATTGGCGGCGCAATTGATCTAAATGCGTTTAACGTTTAGATAGAATCTATTTTGAACAATGATATATTAAATAACTAGATTTCTAACTTGCCGCTTTTTTTGTTTATAACAATTCGTAAAAATGAAGCTGAAGTGTGGAATAAAAGCTAAAAATGCAAGTCAAAGTTCCCAATAAATTAAAGATAACTCAAAAACAAATTTTAATAATTATAAAATACTTATAAAGGTTTTTAATAAGCCTATGTACATAGGCTCATAATAAAAAACAATAGTAATAAACATAATATATACATAATATATACATAATATAATATAATAATACACATAGGCTCATAATAATAAACATAGGCTCATAGAAAACTTTTATAAGTATTTTATAATTATTAAAATTTGTTTAAACATGTTTATAAAAAAGTATTTTAATTCATAAAAATGTTTTAAAAGCGCCTGTCGTTTCCCTTTTCTATTCAAAACTATAATCTCTTTTCAAGACCAACGACACCGGGGGGAAGGGGGAAGTAGACACGCCCACTTTTTGTCTAAAGGACTTTTTTTTTTTTTTTTTTTTTTTTTTTTATCATGATATAGAGGACTTTTTTCACTAGTTGATGATTGTGTTCCCCCCCTCCTTCACTATAAAACCCATGTTGTCAGCCCTGCTTTTTAATCAAAAATAAATTTAGGAATCATAAATTTTTACTTTACAAGTATTATAATTCTCGTTTAACACTTTTACGTAAATAGTATTGAAATTTAAAAAATATTTACTTCATTTAAGAAAAGAAAAGTTACAAATATTTGTTTACGAATTTAAGCAAAAAGCAGTTTCACTTTTCAGATCTAAGTTAGAAATATATAATATATCATTGATTTTGAAACAAGATTCTTAGCGGTCGGGTTAGCCATGGATTTATTTATGAAACCATTCTATATTAATGGTTTGATACTAATCTGTGCATGCATGTAGTCACGTAGATTCTGCCAGCGAGTGCAAACAGTCACGTAGGCTAAATAACGCAATTTTAAAGTTTTTTTTTTATGAATTGAAGTATAGTTTTTCAAAAGAAATGACTTATGTAAACAAAATTGTAAATTCAAAAAAATATAAAAACGTTTAAAAGGCAACCATTATACCTTACATACTACCTATAAAAGCGTTTAGAAGGGGACAGATATATTTTAGATACTACCTGTAAATACCTATTTAATTTTGTTTAAAAACAAAGTGGGTAAAACTCAAAGTTTTTAGTTATAGGCATTCAAAACTGGTGTCACGAAAGGAACAATAGTTTCTTTCGTGATACAAGCTTCAATGGTTTAACAAAAATTTTAATATTCCACATGCAATATCTTTACCTAAAACTAAATAAGTATATATAGTTTGCATGTAAGGTACTATGGGCCCTATCTTAACGTTTTTAGATTTTCTTTAACTTCTAACTTAGATAATAAATGTCCTTCCTTTTGAAAAAACTGACTTTTCAATCCTGCCCAGCAGAGCCTCTGAAGAATGTCTAATTGAAATAAAGATGTAATGACTATATAAACTATATAAACTATGTAATGACTATTATATAACATATTAAATATATTCAGTCTTCATAAAATAAACTTTTCGGCTATCATTTTGAAAAGTTATCTCTGACTTGTTTTATAGTGACATAAAATTGCAAAAACTAGTTTTGTATGTATGTATGTATGTATGTATGTATGTATGTATGTATGTATGTATGTATGTATGTATGTATGTATGTATGTATGTATGTATGTTTGTATGTATGTATGTGTGTATGTATATATATAGCACGCAAATAAAAAAGATAAATTTTCCATTCACACTCTATCAGAAAACGTACTAGTATGTGTCCTAGATGCAATGTATTAATTTTTACATTTTAGATGCATAGTCTCATTTTATTAATACTTCCGAACTATTTCTTTAATTTTTCTCTGTTGAATACTTTAAATTCAAAATTTAAATAAAAATTATTTATTCAAATCTTTTCATTCATGGATGACAATTCCATTTATGAAATCATATATTTTGTTTGTTTAATTAATAATGTTTATAATAAAAATTTTATTTGCTAGTTTAATTAATAAAGAAGTTAATAATATATATACACAGCAAATATTTTCTCTAAATAAACACATAAATACATATATAAACACATAAATACATATATAAATAAATACATATATAAATACATACATAAATACATATATAAATAAATAAATATATAAACACATAAATACAATTTAAGATATATAAAGTGCCGTGCCAGACAGCTGGTGGAGCCCCCACAAAAAAATTTTATTTTGGGCCCTACACTATGCATTGAAAAGTTGAGATGAAAGATAGAACCTGATATAGAAAGTTGATTTTTTTTTATTGCCTGCTACAAAACTATATTTATAAAGATGAATCAAAAAGAAGCAGTTTGGTATTGCACCAATGCCAAAAAGTTAAACTATTCAATGAGATTAAACTAAATCCTTTTGACAAATTTTTGAGTCTGCAAAGACCTCAATAAGGTGGTCACAGTTTATTGTCCGGACACAGGCGCTTTCTATTGAGAGCATGGCTAGAGAAGAAAGCCAGTATTGCATCATTGTTGAGCGATGGAAATTTTTGATAAGTTTTAATTTACTGAAGCTTCTTTCAACAGTCACTGCTGTCACAGCGCAAATCAACAAAACACAGAGTAAAATAGCGACATTGGGATACACTTCCTGGCAATAATTGTTGTTGATATAATTCAAAAAATGTATTGCAGTTTTGAGCTTTTCGTCGTTTTCCAAAGCTAAATGAATAAATCCCTTCAACTCTATCTCCATTTCAAATGGATCTATATCACCCATTTTATTGTGAAAATTTTGGACCTTTAGCAAAAGAGTGTTGCCTTTGTATGCTTGAAAGAGACTTTTCTGATTGAATAGAAATAAAAATACAACAGCCACATCATGTGTTTGTTGGAAACGCTCCCGTACAGACTGTAAAGCTTGGTTCACAAGCACAAAGGAAAAATCAGTTTTGAACTGTGATTGGGGCGTTTGATTACCGCTTTCGTCGTTTTCTTCATAATCAAACATTTTTTTCTTCCTGCTGGTGCAAATTGATGGAATATTTCAAAGAATACTTAGTTCTTCTGCGATCTCACGGGTTGTGGTCTCAGCACATAAGAATCCGTTTTCTCGATACTTCTTCAAAAATGCCTCATTTGCTCTGATTTCACTTTCCATAACATCTAAGATAATACCGCAGAGGTTTAATACAGTTGATCCGACTTTCCCAGCGAGTGTCTAATTGATTTTTAACAGCAATCTCCACGTTTTCTTTCAAAATGCCTCAGCGCTGTGTGGATGATGAAAATATGGAGTACAATCTGGACAGAACACCAAAGAATGATAAGCCCTAGTTGACGACTTGGCACTGTCAACCACAACTAAATTCAAGCAGTGATTAGCACAAGGTACATACAGAGCTTTCGGATTTGTTTGTATAATTTGTGACTGGACACCAGACGTTTTCCGTTTCAAACTAGAACTTTTATCATACAACTGGCCCCGACAGTCTGACATGTTGAGTTTCAACTCCTTTGCTCGCTCTAAAAATGTGTCATAAAGTCCTTTTCCTGAGCTATCATTAACTTGAAGTTATCCAAAAAAAGCTTCCTTTATTGTGACTTCATTACCTGCATCACACTGAACAAAACGCAAAATGACTGTTAATTGTTCTTGGTTAAAAACATCTGCAGTACAATCTAAAATTATTGCATAGTACTTAGATATCAATAGTTTTTGCAGGTTTTGCTTTTCTACCTCTTTTGCAATAAGTTGGATTAACTCATTCTGGATTTTGTTGCTTAGATAGTGATCTCGTGTTTGTTTTTTCGCAATCCTTTTCTGTAGCTCGTTTAATTCAGGATCTCTTTTTGCTAATAGCTCAAACAGACCCAAAAAGTTTCCGTTGTGTGGTAAGTTAAGTACTTATTCGGAACCTCTAAATTCTAAATTTCTTTCTGACATTTCTTGTTTGTCTATGGATGATTGATTATTGATACCTCTTTAAGCTGCATCCATTGTCTGAAACACTTTTTATGGGAAGTGCTTGTTTCATGGTCTTTTAACTTCTTTGATAGTCCCTCACATATCTAGTACCATTACGAAACGGACTTTCATTTGCTTCAAAAAGTTTACGGCAAAAGCAAAATACCTTGTCAGATTTTACCGAATACACAACCCATGACCGAGGTACAGTTTATCCATTGTTCATCACACGTTTGTAATGGAATGTTGAAAATTGACGCCTTGCAGCAATGTTGTATGGAAAGTCAATGTCAACCTGTTGAGGGCCACGTTTGACTAGGTCACATTGTTGAGCATCAGAAATTTGTTCAAGCCAGCTGGTTTGGTCACAAGCGGCAGAAGTAAATAGCGGCAATGGTAGAGTGTACAATTTTTCTGCTGTGTTAGGTTGATTATCGGCATTATCTAACTGTTCATGAATGACCACATCATTAGAACAATTTTTTCCATTGCTGGTGCAACCAGTTTGAATAGATGTAAAGAATGTAAGTTTGGGAAGTTTGCTAATTGCAACATTTGTTGCTGCAGCCTCTTTTCGTTTAGTTGTACCTGACTTTGAAGGCTTCATTATCTAAATTGAAAAGGAAATTTACATTTGCATTCATGATATTAAACAGTAATTCAATAAGTCAAATTCTATAAAAACTTTATAGTATTATAAATAAGGTTTGGGTTTGGTAGAAAAAAAAAGATTTTCTCTGTATACACATATATGAATGCACTTTGTATGCTCATGCACATTATGCAATATATATATATATATATATATATATTGCATAATGTACATTATTTATATATATATATATATATATATATATATATATACATATATATATATATGTATATATATATATATATATATATATATATATATATATATATATATATATATATATATATATATATATATATATATATATATATATATATATATATATATATATATATATATATATATATATATATATATATAAAGCATACAAGTTGGAAAAAATAAATTTAAAAAAATTACGACTTTATTCTCGATTAATGTTATCTCCACTCGCAGAGTCTCACAAAGTTTGAAAGATCATGTTTAGTAACGTGCTCACAACCGTTCTTTATTCGCTCTAACAAATCGTTATTTCCGATCGGAGCTATTTTTCCTCTTGTAGTATTCTTAATTTTCGAGAATGTTTCTTCACAAGGATTTAAAAAAGGTGAGTATTGAGGTAAAAAATGAATTTCATAGGGATAACTATCATAAAAATCTGATAAAGAATGATGAAACTTAACGTGGTCCATCACCATGGTAAACTCTTCTTTCTCCCCCAAAATACTTTTAAGTGTATTTAAGAATCCTTTAAAGATATCTGCTGTCACCCCTACGCCAATTATTGCTGCACGCTGTGCTATGTTTAAACAATTTAATGCTAATATTAAAGTTATGTTACGGCCTCTTGATGACAATACACGTTGATTTGGGGTCGTTCCTCGGAGACTGTATCCGTGGTTTCTTATCATATGAAAATTGAACGGACTTTCATCGATATAATTGATATTTCTGTAACATTGTTGTAATGTCAAGTGTAAATACCATGAAACATATGTTTTTCTTTATTTTTTACCTCTGCAGTATTACGTCTTTCACTAATGGGTCTTAAAAATTTGTATGCATAATTCAATTTTTTTAACCATCGCCATATTTTAGAGACATTGACATCAATTTATAATTCTACCTTTATCTCCTGTAGATTATAGTTTTTTTTATCTCCAATTAACTCATGTAGCCTATTTCTTATTTCTTTAGTACAACCTGACTGTCGAAAACCACCTTTAATACCAGGATTGATATTACCTGTTGATATATATCGATGGACCAGGCGTCGTATGGAAGTTTCACTTTTATGCACGAGATCCGATACTTCTTTTACACTTTTTCCTTTGTTAATTACAAGATTAATGATCAAATCTCTTACTTCAATATTAATTTCTGGGCATTGTGTTCGTGCGTTATTCATTTTAGAGTTTTAAAAAATTGAAGAGAAAACGGGTTGAAATTTTATGTAATGAAGTTAAATTAGATGAAGCAATAAAAACAAAACTATTGATCATAATAAAGAAAAACCACCAGATTAAATGTAAAAAACCGTCAGATTAAATGCAAAAAACCACCAGATTATATGCAAAAAACCATCAGACTAAATGCAAAAAACCGCCAGATTAAATGAAAAAAACTACCAGATTCGTGCAAAAATCCACCAGATTAAATGCATAAACCAGTACTAAAGGTATCATCCTTTGCTGATAATAATTAACCTCTAAAATGTAGCCTATACATTATCTACAAACTCTATAAAAAAATAAATTAAAAAAAAAATTAAGTGTTTTTATGTAGAAAATTGGAATGCTTCTTTGTTACTAAATACAATTAAAAAAACGTGAAAAACTAGTGTTTGAAAAATGCGAATCAAATAATAATTTAATGTTTTGTAAACAAAAGTTTAATTAAAATTAAGCGCAGATTCAACTTAGTAATACAATAGCATCTTTTTCATAAGGTTTAGCGTAAACAAAACTCAACGAAAACCAAAATGTTCTAAACGAAAGTTTAACTAAAATAAAATAGTGAAGACCACTATGTACCTTCGATATCCATACGTGTTCCATATGTATGTCCACATACGTGTTACCAAGCAAATTTTTTGTTGATATGAGATCCTTTGTATAATAAGGATTTGAAAAATGACAGGTGTCACTCGATTTTCATTTTGCGTGATAGGTGGTATGACGTAACTGGTCTTCATAACAACTAATTTTTTTTCAGCAAATTAAATTTTTTTTATACCAATTGAAAGAGCATTATTCAGGTATTCAAAATAATATAAAAAACATATGTTGAAAGTCTTTACTTAAAAAGATACAGTGGTAAATATGTTTTTATAAAACCGGAGGTAAACCGCTGCTTTGTAATTTTTAATAATTTTTAAAATACTTTCTTGAACGCGGATTTTATGTTTTTTGAAATTTTTTTTTGTAATAATTTAAGAAATATTAGTTATTATAAAATTTATATTTTTTAAAACAAACTTTAGAGAAAAATTATTTTTTTTTAACCTCCGGATTTTTAAAATATTATACCTGTTTTGACGAAATAGATTATTTCATGCTTGACGATTGTATTATTTCGAATGTTTTGATAATACTGTTTTATTTTTACATAATTCTACTGATAAGAATGCAACAATTCGGATGACTTGTTTTTGTTTTTGGATTTTAAAAACGTTTCTATACTGTGTTGTTGCTGTTTCACATATTAAATATTATTAACAAACGGAGGACGAAGAACGAAAAAAAAGAAAACTTATTTTTGACTTAACTAAATGCATTGTTTGCCAGGAGGATGATCGTAAAAAAATAGTATTTCTGTTTATTTGATTTAGATATTATTGAATATATCTACGTAAAAATATAAATCTACGCATTTTTACATCTCTTATCCTTTAAAAATACGATTTGGTGAGTTTTGGATATGTACTTAAAGTAATGTTTAAAAGTATCTCCTAGCAATTACTAAATTTATTTTCAGATTGTGAAAACCAGTTTGCGTGACGCTATGGAACAATTAATGGTATGTTTAAGGCAAAGGTAATTCTATCATGATCCAGAGGCAATAGATTTTTATCAAAAGTTAAGAGAAATACCACGCGAGGAACTAGATGAAAAATGTGTTTATCACTCAGAATGTTACAAAAACTTTACCCACTAAAAAAGTTTGCAACGTTTGCTTGAACAACACAGTATATTTATTGCAAGCAATCCTAAACCCATAGAAGACATAGATGAATCAGAAGATTTAAGTCAAATGTCAAAAGGTAAAAGAAAATTGTTCCATTCAAAATCTCAAGTCTACAACAAAGAACTTTGTATAATTTGCCAATGTGAAGGCGGTAAACTTCGAAAACTTCGTTGAGTTTATAGAGACTGGGGGAAAAAAGTTAAAAGTTTCCAAGTTGCTTAACGATCAAGAATTCTTCCTTAGAATGTGCACTATCTCAAATTCTGATGACGCCGTCGCAAATGATGTTAAATACTACTTAAAGTGTTGGGTAACAGTACAGAGATCTGTTAAATTGACAACAACTCAAGAAGAAATTCAAGAACCAGATGATATTGGACGGGTTATCGCAGATGTAGAAATCATTGGTTGAGCTTAAAAGAAGATGGTTTTGTTATGAACATGAAGTCACAACGTGGTGTGGAAGCATTCATGATTTTATACCTGTCTTTAAACAAATTAAACTTGGATAGTTTCTTGCTTCTTTACCCAGAGATTCGTGATGTAATGAAAAAACATGCGCAAGAACTCCCAATAATAATTGATAAGAAGTCTGCTCAAGGAAGCTTTGAGCAAATGCTACTGTATATCCAATCAAATACTATTGTAGAAAAATGCAAGAATTTTGATGACACATTAGTTCAACAAGACTTATATATTTTTTTTTTTTTTTTTAACATCTTCACTTCCAACAAGGCTGCAAGCAACCACTATAAGAGTTGGAAGTTACTGGAAGAGAAAAGACTAAATCTGTAGAGCAAGATAACGATTGACTGATGACTTAAAAGATTGCAAATTATATGAATCAGGAAAGCAAGATGAAGGAAGCGAATTCCAAAGAACTGATGTTCGAGGAAAAAAACTAGAAGAATAAGAGTTTTTGAAGCACTTAGGAACAGTCACAGAAAAAGGATGAGACTTAATTGAATGGCGAGTAACACGAGAATGAATTTTAGTAGATGGCACAAGGGACGCTAGCTCTTTAGAGCAGTGCCTATTATAGTATTTGTAGAAAAGAGAAAGAGAAGCAACATTACGACGATGTGACAAAGGTTGGAGATTGGCTGCCAGAGCAGGTCCAACTATGTTTACAATTCGTTTTTGCACCTTGTCTAAAAGAGAAAGAGCATCATTGGAAGATCCGCCCCAGATGTGGCAACAGTATTCCATACAGGGACGGATTTGAGATTTATAGAGAGAGAGAATAGAATCTGGAGTAAGAAAGTGTCGAGCTCGATAAAGAGATGCAACCTTAGCAGATGCTAATTTTGCAATGGATTTGATATACGGTTTAAAAGAAAGATCAGAAGTAAGAGTTAATCCTAGAAGATGAATGGTAGATGACTCATCTAGTACATTACCATTCATAAATATAGGAAGATCTAAATTATTACGATAACGATTGGCCGAATAAAATTGAGTTTTATCTGAATTAAAGTTCACCAGCCACTGTGAGCCCCATGCTGTAGCAGAAGTGAGATCCTTTTCAAGCTCAGATACCCCCTCCAAGCAATCAGAGAGTGTAGGCTTCTTATCATGACAAGAGTAAATGGTAGTGTCGTCGGCGAATAATGCCACCTTAGATGTGAGAATATCTGGAAGATCGTTAATGTAAATTAAAAAGAGTATAGGGCCAAGGATTGAACCTTGAGGAACCCCTGAAGTTACAGGATGTGAAGAAGAGTGTTGTCCATCGAGGACAACTTTTATACTACGATTGGAAAGAAAGGACTCAATAATCTTAAAGACGTTACCAGCTACACCATAAGAAGAAAGCTTATGGAGAAGACCAGCATGCCAAACTTTATCAAAAGCTTTAGAAATGTCAAGTGCGATAGCCTTAACCTCTCCACCTCTATCTAATGCACGGTAAAACCTATCGGTTATTACTGTTAGCACATCAGCTGTAGAACGAGAAGACCGAAATTTATATTGATGATCAGAAAGTAAGTTATTTGATTCAAGATGAGAGATTAAGTGTTTGTTGATTAAAGATTCAAAAACCTTGCTTATGACAGGAAGAAGACTAATGGGACGGTAGTTAGATGAATCAGATCGCTCTCCGGAATTTTTGAAAATAGGGATAACAGATGCTGCTTTCCAGCATGATGGAAAACAAGACTCTGATAAGCACTTGTTAAATAGTTTAGAAAGAATGGATGAAAGCTCTGGAGAACACCTCTGCAAAACTACAACAGGAATGTTGTCAGGACCACAAGCTGTTGAAGAGTCTAAGCAGGAAATTACTTTAGATACAGAAGCTGAAGTGATGCGAATGTCAAGCAAGGGATCAACCTGTTTGACGGCTATGTCAGGTAAAACGCAACTAGTGGAATCAAGATCAAGTTGCGTAACTTTATGTTAATGTATGAAATATTGCTTCAATTTGTTCGAGCATCTCGACAAGGAGATTAAAAACTTCATCTTGCGTCGCTTGATGCACTGATTCCGTATTTTTTCGCTCACGATCAATATAATTATGCGCGTCTTTCACCACAGTATCTTGCTACAATGATTGAACTAAAAAAAATGGATATTACCTCCTGGCAATATCTTTAAAAAATTTCACCGTCAACAAGTCAGGCATTCCTTTCTGTGATATTGGTTCTGATCATGCTTTAGAACAGGAAAACAAGGTTTTGAAGGTAGCAGGAGGGGTAATTGGTATTACACCAAATCTAACGTGATTAAACCATTTTTTCCTTATTGCTCCTGCTTTAAACTCAATATCAAAAAAATTTTCTGAAAAAAATAATATTGGATCACAATTTCGAAAACAGCACTACCAACTGGCGGGATCTACAAATGAAAGAATTTTGTCTAATGTAAAAAGAGTAATTAATGCATTTAATACATTTGGCACCAACTTCAACAAAAATCAGGTGGTTTCTAATCTTGGGTCAAAAGCAATATTTCCAAAAGAAATCGCAGATGAATTAGTTCATCATGGAAAGATCGGAGAAGAGCTCTACCGTTCTTTTGTTATTGAAAAGTTAAAAGGAGACATATCTATATGGTTGCCAATGAATATGAGAAATCTAAAAAACATTTCAAAATCACGCCAAAGTTTCAAAAATAAAGATAGATAATAAAGTAATTCAACTAAAAGAAGAGCGCACCTTATTATCTCGTTTTCTACTTAGTGCAAGAAAACGCCCAGAGCTTGATTTGGAAAAAGCATCGTTAGCTATGAATTTTCAGTTGTACCAAAATCAATGTTTACTCAAGATGGTCACCCATTGATCACCTCTGATAAAGAAAAAATTCTGCATGAAGTTGAAGACTTGTCTAAAAGTTTAGAGATTTCAACACAAGAACAAGAAATCTCAGTAAATGCATCAACTATCATTATTAATAGCATGGCCTTGGTCAATAAAGTTTATAAAGACAATAGTAATAAAACTTGGAAGGTAACACTTATGTTATTTATCGTATTGTAAACTACACTGTAAAAAAAAAGGGTTTTTTAAATAGCTCTAAAAGGTTTTTCACTTTGTCCTGAGGGTGGAACCCTTTAAGGGTTTTCTAGAAAACCCTTTTTTTAAAATCCTTTAATCCGAAACTAGAAAACCCTTTTTTAACTTGTACTTTCTTTTTTATTTGAATTATAAATTATTCAAAAAATTTTTATATTGCGCAATAACGATTTCAGGCACGTATAAAGTTGGATATATATAACGTATAAAGTTTTATATTTAGGATAGATTGAATATACACTTTAGTTTATACATAATATTGCTTATATGCAAATGTTTAGATTCTTTAATTCCACTGCAATTTGGAAACTCAATAAAAAAACTTATTTAATGATGTTTAAAATCTTATAACATTAAATTAATATACAAAAAAGTTTACATAAAATAATAAAAACATCAGAGAGATGTCAATAAATGTTGTACAAAAAAAAAACAAGTTGTACAAAACTAAAAAAATTGGAAAATAACGTTAAAACTATAATATGAAACTATTATGAGCAAATTTATTAAACTATTATGAGTTATCATACAAATTTTCTGCTACAAATTTAACTATTACAACTATTATATTTCAACGTTATAAGTGATATTGAAGTTTATTGAACGTTAAGACCTATTTTCAAAAATTAAATTGAGAAATCGCCTAGTAGCACAATAAAATATAATAAAATTTAGAAATATTGCAAATATTCAGAAGTTTTTTCGAATTTAGTGACAAAAAAACATAAATAAATTATAAAGATTTACAACAAAAACAGACAAAAAACAAAAGTTATATTTTAGTGCAAAAGACGGTTGCCCCATTTGCTGACAATATTTGGCACTTTTTCTTTCCCACCAAGAAGCACTTTTTCTAAAAATTGACATGTATTGGACAATCTTTTTGGGAATTCAATGCTGAATATCCAAAATGCTGCAAACCATGCTTGAAAAGCCGCGGAAAAAGTGCAAATAGTTTTAGGAAACAAAACTTCCTTGTCGACTGATATATTCCACTTGTCGTCTTGTGACAATATGACTGGACTAAGTGGTATTTGCTGTATAAATAAATAAATAAATATAATAATTAATTTCATTAAAAAAAAACCTGAAACAACTTAAAAACCCTTTAGTACAAAACTTTGAAAATCATTCAATTTTAAAATTTCTTATTTGAAAACATTACCATATAATACAAATTATTGCGAACTCCTCAGCTAAAGAACAACATCACTTTTTTAAATTGTGTCCTTCGTATGAGAGTATTTACATGGACTTAAAATATTCAATAACTTATTTCCTCAAACCAGTAAATTTTTGCATTTCTTTAGATCTAATATTTCCTAATATTTCTTAGACCATCTTGTTATAAAATATATATTAGTTTATATAGTTAAATAAATAAGAAATATATTATATTGGAATCGACTATAAAAAATGGACTATAAAAAAAAAAGATCAAGTGCAATTTCCTAAATAGTGTACAACGTACCAATAAACATCTACCTGCTTTGGTAAGGGAAAAAACAACTCTTCTTTCTCCCCAAATAATGAGGGTAACAGCAATGTAACAAACATCACCTTCCAATCTAAAAGTATTTATATCTTTAATTGTAAATATATGCAAAATAATACATTTGATAAAACTAGTATATATAAAATAGCAGTATTAGCACACATCTGTAATGTATTAAGAAATGGTCAAATGTTTTCAAGTTAATCAATATTTGCTGGAATTACTCGTGGAATTACTAAACTCGTGTAACTCATTGCCTACTATAACTAGTATTAATTGATGTTGGAAAATTACAACTTTTATTTTACAATAAAACCAGAATTGTAAGAATGAAAAATAAAAATAAATAAAAATTACCCTGTTGTTTATCATTGTCCAAAGTTTCTTCTAAATATTTGTTTATCATTCTTGAATATTCAAAATATTTTTTGCATCTTTTGGCTGCTTCTTTGATCGCACCATCATAAAGGGTTAGAAATTTCATTTTTAAATTGGTTACATCTACACCATACAGCAAAAGCACATCTGCTGTAAACTTTAATTTAAAAAAAATCATTTGTAAAATTCACCTACATTATGTTATTACAAAAATAAGTCTATACTTTAAAATTTAAATGTTCATAAGGTAATAATTTTTATATAGTCTTTCATAACTGTCAAAGAAAGTCAATAAAAATATTGTAAAAAAAAGTACATTTTATAAAAGAACAATAGTTCTTTATATAATCTTACAAAAATATTTAGTCGTAAACACGGAAATTCTTCCAGAACTTCTGCAGTTGTGTGGGCATGGCAGAAAAGTTGTCTGTACTCACAAGTTCTTTTCATTTTATCTTTGATTATATCAAAGCTTGGTGTCTGTTTTTTTATTTCTTTTTTTAAAGCATCTTGATGTTTTTTTATGCTGTAAACTTATGTCATCCTCACCTTGTACCACATCAGCCAACTAATAAGAAAAGTTACAACTGTACATAGAGTGGTATATTATCTTACAACAATCAGCTTGTGAACAGTAACCAAAATATACATTTTTGACATGATATACTTTTGACATCTAAATAATGTCACATTAAAGTAATTATACAAGGTTATAGCAAGTAATATGTATATACATTATTACATATGATATATACAACTATATATATATACAACTATAAATATATACAACTGATATTGATTTCGCTATAACTATGAATTCATTCCCTTCTATATCTAAATTAAGTAACAATCTTATAGCTTCTTGTACTTTAACATCCAAGTTATGAAAAAATCTAGGTGCGTTTCCAGACACAGTATAGTTAGATAAAAGCATATCATTTGTCAGCATTTCCCAGCACTGCAACATTTGATGACGCTTTGACAATGTTTTGGTAATATTCTTAAAACATCGTCCATTTGAGGCAGCTTTTTTAAAATACTGATGTTTAGATTCAAATCGTAAACACCAAAAATTTCGTAAAAGCCCAAAAAGACGTATCAGACGAGGGTAATGCATTTTTGGAATAATATATTCAGAACCAAATACTTCAGAAAATGTTTTCAAAAACATAGCAACTAGTTCTTCTAACATGTATATACTGTCACTATCTAAAAATGCGGTAGTGGTGTAGTGGTAGAGCGCTCGCTTCATAAACGAGTGGTTCCGAGTTCGATCCCCACCACGTCCCTGGTAGTACCGCGCTCAACTCGTTTCTCCGCGCAGCGGCCTTGTTCGTCAAGGTTCGTGTTTCGGAGTTATAGAGTTGAGAGAGGGTTATAACCACAAATAAGTAGCCTCCTCGTCTGTAGTGGCCTTCTCGGCCTTGAGGAGGTGAATTAAAATAAAAAAAAAAAAAAAAAAAATCTACAATTGGGGCAATAACAATGTCACATATTTCACGAAGTATAAGAAAAACCTCCCAGCCAATATTTCCATGTGGTACATCATTACCGACTAACTGCGGAAACAATAGGAAAAGTTCTAATTTCTGTACAGCTGTTCCATTTATGTGTGCTTTATCTGATGCAATGTTTTTAGGTAATTGGCTAGGGCGATTAGATGAATTAATTAAATGAATTTTGTTTATAGAATCGTTTATATTATTTACTGATAATGTATTACAAGAACGTAACAAATGTTTGATAACACATTTCAAAGTTACTGGCATAATGCCTTCAAATAAATCATGCATTATATCTGGAGGGAAAGCTGTAAGTACATCAAAGTTATCTAACTCTAAAAAATCACACTTTTTGCTAACACCATACACATTCTTGTTTGCTGCATTATCAATTATAGCAGCTAAGTGGTATTCATGAATTTCTGGTGTTCTGAGACGAAGAGTGCTTTCACTAAAGTTATTTCCAACTTCTGACTTGTCCACCATACAGAAACGACAAATTCTTCCAGTATGGAAATACTGCTAAAATTCTCCTATAGCATGAGCTGAAAGCATATCAGCTGATATACCTGTAAGTTTGCCTTTTAAACGTTGACGTAATCCATTAACGGAAACCTCAATTCCTTTTCTCTGCAGTACATTTAAATCATAAATTAATGGACAAAGAACTTCAGTGTAGTCATATTCAGCCATTTTTATAAATTTATGTTCAATCAATAAAGCCAAATGAATAAACTTTTGCTTTGAACAAAACTCAGATGGAATATTGCCTAACAAAAAATAAAATGCAGTCACTTTATGCTTCCCTCGCTTAGCTCCTATTGGATTGCAAAGCTCAACTTCATCTACATATAACTGAATCTGCAATGCACTTGGATTTTCAGAAAAAAATTGTCACTATGAAAATGTTCACTGTCACAAAAAGACGTCATAAAATCATTATTAGAAAAAGACTGATTGTAACTGTCACCCAAACAATTGTAAACATCTTCATGGGAAACTAATTTCGATAAAACTTCTAGAATCGGAATGTATTGAAAAACAGCAGTTGTATTATTTATTCTAAAATCTATTTGTCTTGGCATTGCAATCATTTTTTTGCTTTTCAATAATCCAATTAGTCTATTTTCATTTGAAGACATCTCACCCATGGATTGCAGCAATCTTTCTGTGTCTGTTATATGTGCCCAATCATTGTTTAGTGTTAAAATATTATTTTTGAATAAATATTGACATATAACATCCTTAAAACTACTTAGTGTAATCAAAAGTAGGTTTTGCATATCTTTTGCAATTTCTGCATGAACAGAAGCTGGAAGTATGTGCACTTCTTTGAGTCGCAAAAGAAGAAATGCAAAATGTTTTTCCAAAGTGTTAAGCATATCAGTAATATTTTTACATTTAAAATCTTGATCTAATTTTACATTATTTTGATCATTTGATTCTTCGGTTGTTTCAGATGAATCTATGATGTTATCATTTCTATTATTTCTACTCCCCTGATCACTTTCATTATCATTAGACCAGCTTCTTAATAAATTACTGTGCTTTCGTTGAACATGTTTTTTTAGACTATTAGCACTTTTGAAAGTTTGCTTGCATGCACTTGAAACACATCTAACGTAAAAAAGAGGCTGATTTTCATGAAACAAGATAAGATGTCGTTGATGGAAAGATGGAAAGTATTTACTTTCCAAATGAAAAATAATTGTTGCCACATTCACAATAAAATTGGGGCATATTTGGCTATTGTATATTATCAGGAATCTGAAATGTAAACAGTACAATTAAAATGTTTACTATAAAATGCATAATAATAAAAAAATTACTTTCAAATTCGGCTGCAGTCTTTTCATTAAATTCATTATCTAACAGCCATTTGGCTACTTCTGCAGGCGACCAGTTTTTAATATTTGCAGACATAATTCTTTAACTTTATTATTAGTTTTACTTTAAATTTTAATTATTAGCTTTACTTTAAAATTGTAAAAATATTTTAATTGACCTATAGGAATCTCATAGATAAATCGGTTAACTTAAAAAGTATACAATTTTGCGTATTTTACTTTAAAAATTTTAACAAAATACAATTTTAAGTATAATAAAATAAAAATACTATTTATTTTATTTAAAATATCGTATTTCTAGGCAATTGTAATTTTATTTAAAACCCTTTCTATTTTTATCCTTCTTTAATTATGCCTCGATATCAATAAACGGCACTCGGGTTTTTTATATGATTTACGACGAACAAACCCTTGGCTAAAGAGTTTTCTAATAAAACCCTTTCAAAAAACCTTTTTCTAGTGGTAGAAAACCTTATGCAAGTGTGAAAAACCTTTTTTGGAAACCTTTTTTTTTTACAGTGTATAATAATAATAATAATAATATATATATATATATATATATATATATATATATATATATATATATATATATATATATATATATATATATATATATATATATATATATATATATATATATATATATATATATATATATATATATATATATATATATATATATATATATAATGCATAAATACTAATATTTGTTTAATTATTTAGGATTTTGCTGCAATATTTATTAGCATACTTAGAAAAGTATGCTAATAAATATTGCAGCGAAATAAAATAAAAAAATCTCAAAACTTTTTGACAGATACATTAAACATTCATTAAAGTCTAGAACAAGAAAAAAACGCACCTCTGACAATTAAATCAAATATAAAGTAACTGATGACTCTAAAATATGTAACAAGTAGCTAAAGCAGTTATTGGGGCACATCAAAACAAAGCAAGCTTTTACCGAATACCTTGCTGAATATACGAAAAATAATATAGGTAGTGCAGTTCCCTGCATTGTAACATTCAAAAACAACAAAAACAAATATGGAACATTTAACTGCAGAAATGATGAATTATGATCACGAAGAGGCTAATACTCTGTTAATTTTGCATGCCATAGACGTTACAAAAGAAAACCCATTTTAAAAATGTATTGTGCATTCACAAGATACTGACGTTTTTCTAATTTTAGTTCATTTTTTATCAAGTCCTGCCACGTGTCACAATTTTCCGAACTGGTATAGGGAATAAGGAACGAAACATCTCGATTTAAAAATACTACGAAGCAATTGATTCTAAACAAGCACAAGCTATTTTAGATATTTTTGTTTATATTTTGTTGTTTCTCATTTCTAAGAAAGTAAGGGTCTTCGTGAAATTTTTTATTTCTTTAGGTTTTCACGTTTTTACTGGCTGTGATAAAAGTGGAATATTTTCTGGAGTCACTAAAAAATCATGGTGGAAATAGTATATAAAAACTGACAAATGAACTTTAGCTGCTCTATCAAATCTTGGTCAATCAGAAGCTTTACCTGATCTGTTTACAATAAACAACATTGAACATTTTGCTGTTAGAGTTTACGGTGATAAAAAACGGACAGAAGATGTTAATACTCTTTCATAACTTCGCTGGTTCCTTTTCTCTAAATTTCAATATGATGCTTCACAAACTTCCACCAACAATGAATGTTGTTAAGTACCATTTATTCCGTAGTCACTTTGTATATTTAGTGCTTAAACGCTCTAACATGCCCGTACAGTATCTATCATCGCCTGTAGAGTATGGTTGGAAACTAAACAATGGATTTTTTGACCCCATAATGACTGTTAACCGCCAGCACCAATAGCACTTATCGAGTTGAGTGCCTGTAGTAGTAAAGGAGACTGTAATAGTAAAAGGTGCAAATGTTTGAAAAATAAATTTGTTTATACTAATATGTGCAAGTGTAAAGGATGTAAAAATAATAATGTAGACGTGCAAAAGGAAAACTATGACTATAAATGTAGAGATATATAAGAGGCAATTTAATTTATTCGTATTATTAAATCATGTACACATGATAATTTTAACATATATTTCCAAAATTTAGAAGCTTTTTGAGTTTAAGAATAAAATCTTAGAATATTTTTACTTTTCAATCAATAAATGTCTTTAATTTCATTTATATTACAAGGTTAATTGACTTAATACTGTCAATTAAATATTTTTAGGGGATCCTTTTTTCTCTTCATTAAACCTTGTAGGTTGTAAATACTATTTTGGTTTACATATGATATTGTTTATATGTTTAAACAATATTAATATTAATATATATATATATATATATATATATATATATATATATATATATATATATATATATATATATATATATATATATATATATATTAGCTTAATTATTTTAGTTTTACTTAATTTATTTTTCATCAAGTGGAAATTTTTGTAAATGACCTCCGGTTTGGTAACTTAGATAAAGTCCTATATCTTATGAAGTAAAAATTTTTAACATATGTTTTTTATATGATTTTGAAAGCTCTTTTTTAATAGATTTAATGCTCTTTCTAATAGTATAAAATATTACATGAATTAGAGGTTAGTTTTTTGAACTAGAGGTCAGTTTATTTTTCATGAATTAGAGGTCAGTTTTTTTGCTATAGGGGCTTATTACATCATACCACCTGACACAAACCATAAATATTAAATGACACCTGTCACTTTTCAAATCCTTTTTATACAAGGATCTCATACCAATAAAAAGTTTGCTTGTAACACGTATGTGCACTCGAAGAGTTTTTTTGAAACATAGCGACTGCACAAAAACGTCGATTAACTCAGCATTACAATAGCATCATTTTCTTTGTGTTTGGCGAATTTAAAAAAATTAGCAAACGTTAATACGAGGTTTTAACATTATAAATAAACAAAAACACCTACACAGTGGCGTAAGTATAAATTTGGGGGCCCCCGCTAAAAAAGTAAAGGGGCCCTCTTTAAATTTTTTCTCAACTTTTTCTCCAAAAATGCCCGTAGGGGTACGTGAAAAATTATAAATTCATAAAATGTATTTGATAAAACAGAAATTAGTAACACTCATATTATTATTACCAGTCATATTATTCATATGAGTAAAATTTGTAAATCTCCGCGGGGTCCTCTAAGCTCCGGGGCCCCCTGCCTTGCGGAGTTATGCTTCGCCCTAGTTACGCCACTGCACCTATATCATAATTTTAGTTTTATCATTATTTCAAAAGTTTTTATTCCATACTGTATAGAAGGGCCCCTGCAAATTCATACCATCCCCCAACCGGGGAGTTTTGGGGGCTATAGGCACGGCACTGGATATATACAGTTATATATACATTAAAATAATAAGTTATATTAAATAAAATTTCAAAATTAAATTATATGTTTGTAATACATTTTGATTAAATGTTCTTTTAAATATTTCTCTTTATTTATCGCTCAGGAATAAATTTGTTTTTTCACCTTTTTGAAATAAAAATTATGGTTATTTTACTCTCAAGTTTTGACGCAAATAAATAGAACCTCTATTAATATATTTTGACGCAAATAAAAAGAACCTCGATTAATTTTTTTTAATAACAAAAAAGAAGTTTAATAAAAGTATTGCAAATTTATTTAATTTAAAAAAATATTTATAAAGCAAAAGTAGCCCGTTTTACGGTATGTTATAGTTCTAAATCCAAAAATGTTAATAATTTATAAGTTCAAATAAATTTGTTATTTAATTATAATTTTTTTTTTTTACTTTTACATCAATTAAAATGTGTAACATTTAGTCAAATCTGCCAATTAGTGCAATAAGAATTTTTTTTTATTGTTTATTGCTTTTGATTAATCAAAAAGCACTAAAGACGGGAGTAAACCTATTGCCAACCTAATAAACCTGCTATGGAAACACAAAATAAAACGGTCAGACACAACAAAAACAAACGCGTTGACAAAGTATAACGCTTTTAGGGTAAAACAACACATAGCCAACTTTGACCTATGAAGGCCAAGTTTGGTTTCGTATCACTCGTTTTGTTGTGATCTATATCAAAAACGACTACTACCGTTTTAGGTATACAACAATTTTGAACTTTTTTTTTGTAGTAACAAATAAATAGCAATTACTAGTAAGTAACTAAGCAACAATGTTTAAATGAAATCAATAACTCTATATAAAGCGCTAATAATTCATTTATTCAACTTTTACTTGCTGTAATAAATATTGATATTTTACTTGCTGTATTAAATATTGATATTATGATGTATTACTAAATCGTAATAAATGCATAATAGTTTATTTATATTGTTTGTATTATAAATGTTAACCAAAATTTTTCTTTATGTCTTTCTACGAACACATTTTGAAGACAAATAATACTGTGATGTGCGATTTTGAAGAAACAAATATTTTTTGTAAAGAATGACTGTTCACATTTTACTGGTATTTATTTATATATATTTATCTTTTATTTAAACAAATGGCTTCAGTTTGAAGTAATTAAATATTTTTTGAAAATACAGCAAAGGTATGATAACCCGTGGTATTCAGGAATGTTTATATAAAATGATACGCCTAAAAAAACATGGCAAATAAATGCTTTTTTTATTACAAAAGAAAAATTTTAAAAACATTAAATCTTATTCAACTTACTCAGTCTTGCAATATTCAAATAGGGGACATAAATAATATAAATATATCTTTTAATATTGAGAACATGAATCCTATAAAATGTGATACCAAGTTTAAATTTAATTGAATGTACTCTTAAACGTGAATAAGAGCCACCAGTTCTAAAAGGTTTGTCATTTAACTTTTTGTTTTATTTAAAGTATGGAATAACGAAAACTTTGTTTTTTTTTAGAGTTATTAAAAAGTTTGTTTGCTTTGAACCATATTAAAATGTTTTCTAACTTGTCATTCATTAGAACGAAGAGTTGAGGTATATCTTTTCCTGAAATAAAAAAGTTACTGTCGTCAGCAAACATAAATGTTGGTTTATTTGACGCTCTCCAGAGATCATTCACGTATATAAGGAAAAGAAGAGGCCCAAGAATTAGTAAACGACCAGGGCTGGTGTTTTACAGTGGCCAAGGCCAGTTTTACCGATGGGATTGCATAAATATTGGTGCATATTGACTTTTTTACATATATCATATCAATATGCACCAATGTTTTTACTGCCCTAGCAATAAACCCGGTTTTTTCCCTGGTCAAATACTAGCCCCGGTTGTTTACTACCAAGAATAGACCCTTATGGCACTCCACAAAAAAACAAAAATGAGCTTGTTGGTTTATTATTTTCATAATATATTGATTGCGTACGTTTACATAGATTGTTCGCTACCCACCTGTTTAATATGCCTCTTATATCATATATCATAAATTTTTTTGTGATCCATTCATAAGTATTTTGTGATCCATTGTATCAAACGCTTTGGAAACACTAAATCGGTGTGTTTTGCGCATATAGCGATGATAACAGCATGTCTCTTCATTTCTTAAGTTACTTTATACTCCTCCATTGATGATCCAAGAAAAAAAGAAAAAATTGTTCTCTATTAATTACAACCACAAATATGGATGTCTTCAAATGATGTAGGCACCCTGTACTAATGTCTATTAATGTTGCTGAATTTCTTGTTATTCGCGTTGGTTTGTTTATTAAAGGAATCACACTACAGTCAAATCATTAAAAAAAGTTTATTAAAGGAATCACACTACAGTCAAATCATTAAAAAAATTTTTTGAGTTTCGAATAATTATCATAATTAAGTGCGTTATTAATTAAATCTGCTATAACAAAAAGACCTTTTTTCTCGAGAGTTTTTTTGAACAATATTCTATAGGTGAATTGAGAATTTGTCTGTTAACGTATTCGGTAGTTTATAGCAACATGTTACAAAAATATTTTTAAACTCGTTATAAATTATTTTTAATTAAACCCTCTTCACCACTGCATTCAGATCAGTAATCGACCGAACATCTGTTTTGGTATCGGTTTCGGAAATTTTAATTTGAACCAATGCCGAAATTTTGGTTTCAGTACTTTTTATAAATTCGGTAAAAACCGAAATTTCGGTTAAAAAATATACTGAAAATCAATATTTATCTAATTTAGAAAAACAGTTATTTTTTAGAATTTTCTTAAAATATTTTGACAAAAATATTGAAAATTTTTACAACCTCGAAAAAATCTTGTTTTGCAGAGAAATCTGCCAGACAATCTATCAAAGCGCTCGTTTGTTATTTTTAAATTTGTATTTATTATGTTGTCAGAATATAAATCTCGTCTTTTCGGGATCGCTTCCGTTATTTTTTTTTTCAAATTCTTTGAACATATCTTTAAATACCTTTGCAATTTCTTATAGTGTAACTGCCATTTTTATTGTTGATTTATTTATTTTATTTTAATAACTTTTTTTTTATTAAATTTTATTATTATTAGTTTATTTTCCACGCTGTAAAAACACGTCTTGTAAACGTCTTGTAAACGCTGTAAAAACACGTCTGTTCAGCAAAAAAAGTGTTTTTGATCTGATAAACAATAATTTTATGTTTTTATTTATCGACCCACTTTTTAGGAATATGTTTTGAATGTTTATGATTTTAATTTATGATATTATTAAATATTCACTGCTTATAATAAGATCTAGCGAGTTTCGGTTTTGGTAAAATATTTGCCGAAATTTCTGTTTCGATTTCTGCACCAAATTTGAGTAAAAGAAATTTCGGTTTATTTTGGTTTCGGCTTTTTTTCTATATCGGTCGGCCACTAGTAAGATACGCTTCGTTAAACGACTCAAGCGTATCTGAACTAATGATGGACTGAAACAGAAAAAAAAGCCGAAACCGATATCCTTAAAACAGTTAATTTAAGAATTTGTAGATTAGTGATTTCAGTTTCACTCTCCTTGGTATCCTCCTGTTCATTTTTCCAATTAAGTTTCATTTCCAACAGATTGTGTTTCTACCTTTTATTTGGTGTCAGTAACAAAAATAGTCAATTTTACATAGTTTTTTAAATTTCCAACCGATTGTGTTTCTACCTTTTATTCGGTGTCAGTAACAAAAATGAGTCAATTTTACGTTTTTTTAATTTGTTTTGTAAATTTTTCCTCCTCCATTGTTTAACTGCTTTACTTAATTGCTAGTCATTATTAGCACAGTTATATTATCACAGTTATATTATCACAATTATACTATCTAAATTTTAAATATATAATATAAAAAAAGTAGTAAGCCCAATTATGATTATATGTTTTTATATTATCAAAAACATAAAAAATAAAGATTATTAAACATACAGTTTTAAGTTACGTATAAATTTTTATACGTAACTTAAAACTGTATGTTTTTTTGTATAAGTTTTGTAACATTTATATATAATATAAATATTTATATGTTTATCTAAAATATTTTATATATTTTTGTATTACATAATTTTTCTAAATTACTTTTAATCGTCAAAGTTGAGTATAATATAAATTAAAACTTAGTGAAATTTGTATTCGAATTTTTTATCACATTCGGAAATTTAGCTGAGTAAGATAAATAAAAGGAATGATTAGCTTTTTTTTTTACCCCTTTTTCTAAAACTTTGAAATTAAAATATAATAAAAAGATAGTGATCGTCCATAAATTACACAGCGCTAAATTTCAACAACAAACTAACCAAAAAAAGACTACAATTTCTCTCGTGCAGAACATTTAATTAATCCAAATGGATAAAGTTTTCTGACATAAAAACGGGCCCTTTTTCCTGATCTTTTTCCTTCCATACCAGTGTTACCAATTAAAAGTTTGTCAAAGTATATTTTAATAAGTTATAATACAGATAAATGTTATAATAACGGGTCACAACTAAAATTTTGCCCAACTTTTAAAACAAGATATCTCAGTCATTTTACAATTTTTTTTAAAACGGTTTTTTGCATTTTATAAACAACAATTTTAAGTGTTAGAAAAAATGTCTTTTAAAGTTTTTCGATTCCATTCCTTCTGACAAAATCGAGTCTTTTGTGTACCGAGCTGAAGGTGCGGTGTATAAGGTTTTTGTCCAAATTACGAAGGCAAAGACTGACTCTAGCTTTGAGTTGAGTGATAGTTTTAGTCTGCCAGTCCTTCTAATACACTTTCTGCTTCAAAAATCCCCAAAAATCCTCAATTGGCCTGACTTTTGGGACGTTTGCTGGGTTGTCTTGTTTTTGTACAAAATTGACTTTTTTGTCTCTGAGGTCGGCGTGGACTGAGTTTGCATAGTGGGAGCTAGCTAAATCGGGCCAGAATACGTATTTACCATCCCTATAGTATTTGTTAATAAAAGGAGTCAACCTCTTTCGTATACACTCGTCACGGTAGATATATTGATTGATTGCCAGACCAGACTTGAAAAATTTGACACTACTCATTCCTCGAGGTGAAACTGCCACCCAAACAAGTATTTTTGACTCGTATTTTGCCTTCATTTTGTTCTTCACATCAGTAGGAGTCTTTTGAATATCATCTAAGTAAAATCGGTCATTCCCAGCCAAAGTTGTGTTGGAAAGAGTGAAGTACGATTCATCATCCAAAATAAAATCGACATCACGAAATTTGAGGAAAAGTTGTCCACACTTTGGCCTTGCTAACTTGACTTGTAAGGCTGTCATCTTTGGTTTGACGGTGTGTTTTAGACATCTGATATTTGTTTTTTGCAATAGCATCTTTGAAACGTATTGCTGAGTCGTTTTTAGCTTGCTAGCTACTCTTTTCTGTGAGCAGCCCTTCCGATGATTGAAGAAATTTTTCATCTTACGTATGTTGTTTGCAGTCGCTATAGTGGTCGGAGGAACGCTTCCTTTTTTCCTAGTTAGTACTTTATTTTGTTCCAGCATGCTAAGCCAATGATTTAAAGTCCTTTTTGGAGCTCCCATGCTGATAAGTTTATCAAAAATATGTTTTCGCCCCAGCCCATGGTTTTTTTGATAGTATTTATACAAAATGGATTTTAGATCTTCATACATTATAGCGTGATATTTTTTGAACTACAAATCATACGAACTATTTAAAAACATATTTGAATAGAGAATGCTTTTGAGTATATTCTGTTAAAATTTTAAAAATATACACAAAGCAGATCTTTATTGACATTATCCCAAAGTTTGGGCAAAATTTTAGTTGTGACCCGTTACAGCATTATATATTTATATGTTTCTAAATCTGAAGATTAAATAGCACACAAGGATTTGGCAGCAACAACCAAGACAGGAACAGTCATGGTCAGAAACTAGTTAGAAAACTTTCTCTCTGCAAACTAGTAAATAGAAAGCCTTTGTTTGAAGTACATTTTCAACTTGTCTATAGGTAGGGAGTAAGTGTTTAATTTTAATTTTGTCACTACCACCTAATTTGAAACCCCTCAAGTTAAGAGGGGTTTAAAGGGTTTTTCGTTCCCTGCTTCCAATCATCCCAATTTTTTGCAAAATCTCATTATTTGACATAAGTATAAACATATAATTGTTTGGAGTTTGGAGTTATCTCAAACACCAAAAAATTCTGGATCCGTCACTGAGTACCACTTTGAAACACTTCAATCTCTGTATTCTCACTAACTTCTACCCAGTGGCAAAACGCAAGTGTGGGAGGGCCCAAGCAGAAGTGGGCCCATTTTCAAGCCTGAAAACTATTTCTATTTGATTCTATTAAAAGTTATGCATTAAAAAACTGTGATCTTTTTTGGTTTGTTTATTATTGAAATTTAATTTTATATATTTTAAAGTTTAATTTATGGACGATCCCTATCTTTTTTATTATATTTGAATTTTAAAGTTAAAAAAAAAAATTAGCGATCATTGCTTTTAATCTTCACATTTGGTTAAACATTCAAATGTGATAAAAAGTTTGAATGAATATTCCACAAAGTTGTTTATAAAATTTTTGTTTTTGTTTTTTGATGTGTAACGCAACAAAAAACAAAATTGTTAATGATACAAATGACAAAGTTATTATTAGGCCTACTATTTTTTTAAATTACATACTTAAAATTTCGATTTAAAAATAAAAAATTGTGGTAATGATGGCTAGCAAGCTTTTAATTGGAGCAGCGAAACGACGGAAGAAAAAAAATTAGGAAACAAATATAAAAAACTATGGTTCATTTTTGTTACCTGCTTTGACTAAAAAGGTAGAAACACAATCTGTTACAATCTGTACTTAATTTGGAAAGTGAACAGAAGGATACCAGAGAGAGTGATAGTGAAATCAATGAACTACAAATAAATACAAATTCTCAAGTAAACAATTTCAAAGACAATCCGATTTGTGTGATTACGACTCCCTAGATCTCATTATAAACACTGAAAATGAACCGTTTAACTCTGCAGCACTTGTAAACTTTAAAGATTTTACTGATAGAGGGCATTATCCAATCGATATAGTTGATCCAAATATAAAGAAATTTATTGTTGCACATGGATGATCCCGAGGTGGGGGCGTAAGGGAGTCTAGCCCCCCTACAAATTTTTTTGGTCGGCAAATTGGAAATTGAGTCGACAAAATTGGATCTACAGTTGATCTATAGTTGTTTTTCTGTCAGTTACTATAAAACGATGACGAAGTCAGGTTTAACTATACTGATGATTTCATTGTGCTATTCCAAAAATTTAAATGGTGCATATTGTGAAGTTTGCTGGTTATTTAGTGATAGAAATGATAAAATCTATTGCAAAGGTTGGAATAAAGGTATACAAGACTGGCAGGGGTTTCTTAAAAAAATTAATAAACATGCTAGTTCGAAATGCCATAGTTCTTCTTGTATAATATAATATATAAACAACAAAAATATCACAAGACTTTGAATAAATCAAATAAGAAATATATTCCGAAAGATAATAAATTTGTGCCGGAGGTTTTGTAGCGGCTTTTGAAAATTACTCTACGTTTAGGCTGTAGTGGACAGACATTTAGAGGGCATAATGAACATATCGGTGCGGTTTATAACAACAATTTTTTTACCTGAAGTTAAGCTTCTAGCAGAATTTGATTAAATAATGAATGAAATTTTTAATAAAACTACACACAATATAAAATATTTGAGTTTGGAAATGTAAAACAAAATAATTACCGTATTATCGGAGCATCTTAATAAACAGATTACAGAAGAAATCAAGTCTGCGTTGTTCTACTCAATTTTTGCTGAACACCATCTGCGTATATGTTCACTGCGCTGCATATAACCTTAACCTTGTTATAAAGGATGCTGTTAATGGAGTTTCTGAAGTTGGTGGTTTTTTCACTGTTCTACAAAATGGTATAATTTTTGATATGGTATAATTATGATATAATTTTTGCCGGATTAGCATTAACAGATGGGATATAATTTTACAGTAGAATCAACAGTAACATTGAAAAAGTTAAACCCGACTCTATTAGCTGGACGAGCAAAAAGTTTGCTTATATGAAAATTAACTTTTTCAACACCTTATAGCTATTGACTTTTATTAATCTAACATTACTCAGAAAAAGAAAAGGAAGTATCCATTGAAACTTTTCATTTTCTGCTCGTTATGTTTTCTAAAATACTTGGAGCAATTGACCTCTAAATATCTACAAAAAAAGAACACTGATTTTTTTATTGCCTCGTAACATCTTGGAAATGCATTGAAGACAGCTAGAAATTAGAGACTGAATTTCGACAAAAAAAAAGAATCCGTTGCAGTTGCTAGCATGTGAATTGTGTAAGTAAAATTCAAAGACATAAGAGTTCCCAAAGTAAAGCAATATTTTGATGAGTTAACCGACTGACAGTGTGTTAGATATTGTAAACACACAATTGAAAAATAGATTCCAAGGAATGCATGACATTATAAGCAGTTTTTCTGAACTTTTTCCATCAATTCTTCTTGCTGAGGATGACCACAACATTTTCAAAGCGGCAAAGTTATTGCAGGAAAATTATCTCAACAATTTCTTAGCAGAGTTTCTGCTTTAGTTGCTGTCTTTCCGATTGTCAATGAACAGTGAATTAAAAAAAATTACAACAGTTAATCAACTGGCAAACTTACTAATTGTTTATTTCACCTCTATTTCATCTTCATATTTTAACGTGGTAACTACTATGATTATGTTTTTGATATTGCCAGACACAGTGGCAATGGTTAAAAGGTCATTTAAAAAACATAAGTTTATTAAAAATTATTTTTGTAATTCGATGGGTCAAGAAAGCCTTAACGGTTTAGCCTAGTTGAGAATTGAAGCCTCGCAGGCCAAAGTAATGGATGTTGACCAGATCATCAATCGATTTGCAGAAATAAAGAGTTGTTGCAAGGACTTGTCATAGATTACTCATCTGTACTATGTATAATAATATAATATGTACAAATATATATATGTATCTAACATGTATCATGCTCAATTTCTATGCCAAAACTTGCGTCAAATAAAAAAAAATTGGTAAAAAAGAGCGGTCGATTGCACACGACGACCGTGGGGGTCGTTGTGATGAACATGACACGAACATGCATTTCTAAAAAGTGAGTCGATAATGATAAACATAAAATTATTGATAAAATTATTACTTATATCTCATATTTCAAAGGAGGTAGAAGCAATCGCACATTAAGAGCTAAAACTGCAGTTTTATCCGGATTTTTGAAAATATTGCATTAAATTGTAACATGATTTTAAAGCAAAATAAATTTTTTTTTTAAAAAAAAAACGTTTTTAATCTTTATCCTAAACAATTGCATCTACGGTCTCAAGAATATGACTGTAATTTGCTTGTAGAATTTGAATATAAAAGGCTCCTGCTGACCAACTTCACCAACTCAGGCTTTTGATGATAACATTTCAGCCCTTTCCTACATAACTTAGAAGACTAGAACAAATCTGTTATCTATGAGTTAAAGAATTAAAAAAATTATACAGACATTCAAGAAACTCAAAAAAATCATACATTACATCACAGCCATCAACAGCATTTACTAAATATAAAGAATATGCTGCGCAAGAAATAAAACTAATATTTGGGTTCTCTTTTTTTGTGTGTGCTTGCAAGTTGTTGTATTTTTCAGATATGTTACATGCATTGTCATATGACTCCCCACAAACATTGTTAATGTTTAAAAATAAGCTCTTTTAATCTATTCTAACTTCAAGGATATATTTTTGTTCAATTGTTGAACTTTTAGGTTTTAGAGAGTATTTTATAAAGACTGCATTTGTCATAGGCTTTTCATTATGTCTTCGAGAAGACTCAAACCAAATAAATCTTTTTACTACAACAGTTACTTTGCTCATATATATGCAAGTGAGTCAAAGAGTGCAGTGTCATTTGCTCAGCTCTGATTTTTTTAGTTTTTTAATCGTTTACTAGTTTAATCGTTTACTTGGTAAAACTTTGAAAGAAACCAAAACCCCAAGAAAGACGTCTATTTATCCTAAGTCAACTCTGAGACCTGCACAAAAACTTCAACCATTTAACAACTCTTCTTACAACACCCCTTTAGTAACGCTTTTCAACCTCTAACTTTTGTTTCTAATAACAATTAATTTTTCCTTTTGTTGTGACTTTTCAAAAACAGCACTGGACTGCATTAGTGAGCTGTTTGCTTTGTTTATGCTTCTGTAAAGAATGCTGTTGATGTGATCAGTCATTGGTTTCAGTTCTGAAATTGTCATCTGAATCTTGAAAGGGCAGCAGAAGAAGAAACAAAAAATTTTTTGAATTTTCTTTCAGAATGGTGAATATATAAGCTTTTTTCGAATTTATAATTTTTTGATTTAAATAAAAATTATCTCAGAGAACAGTGTCTTTAATATACCTTTATGCCTGCAACATTTAGATCCAGAATTTCTTTAAAAAAAACACCGTTGCTTTGCGCTTCTTTCAACTGCCTTCACAATCCTAACTCACATAAGCTCATTGAAAACTGAATTAAATCAAAAAATAACTGTGCAGTGTTTTTTTTGTTTGTTTGTTTTAGTTTTCCATTAACATGTTACTGATGTAACAAAAGTTTTTTACCCATTTATATATATATATATATATATATATATATATATATATATATATATATATATATATATATATATATATATATATATATATATATATTTATATTTATATTTATATATATATATATACATATATATATATGTGTATATACATACTGTATATATATATGTATATATATATATATATATATATATATATATATATATATATATATATATATATATATATATATATATATATATATATATATATATATGTTATAATTTTAGATATTGGTGTTGTTGTACAATGTGCAAAAAATTGTAAATAGTAAGTTTGCAAAATATTTGTTTTTAAAATTAGTATTTGTTTCTTTGTTAAAGTTTTAAATATTTAAGGTTTTTTTTTATATAAAAATTTATATAAAAGTTTATATTAAAAAAATACTTCATAAACAGATATCTAGATGAATTTATGCAGATTATATTTATTTTAGACCAGGTTACTTTTTTTAATAAAATGTATGAAACATGCAAACAAAGTTGGTTTTATCTTGGAGTATACGTCCATTTTTTACTGATGCAAATATCAAAAGTCCTTGTGGTATTACCTAATGATGGTATTCTGTCAACAAAAAAATATCACTTTTTTTCCCCAAAAACTTTTAACAAAAAAGATTATTATTTCTAAGGCTGATTGTGACAGGATCCTTTTCTGAAAAACTTATATTTTCAGACTTTTTGTAGTTTTACTTGGTATACATAACATACATGGTGTATAATAAGTGTCAGCTAGTTCTGCTAGTTCAAAAATGGAATCTGTTTTTTTTTTATTTTGTTTACAGTTTGCTTCAGCAATTTTTCTTGATTATTTATTCGAAAGTCATTATACACACACAACGCGTGACATTTCACATCTACAAATAAATGCAAGTGACATTTCACATCTACAATTGACGGCACATTTTATTATTAAAACTCTCAACTAAAATACATATTGCAAAAAATAGTTTTGCAATGACACATTTGCAACTGAATATAAAGTTATAAAATATGTATATTTTTTTATTTTGAAATAACCAATGTTACTGAAACAAATGGTTACTTTAGCCTAAATGGCTGGTTGTTTAACTAACTTTATAGCTTAACTTTTATTAACTTTGGTTATAAATATATATATATATATATATATATATATATATATATATATATATATATATATATAATAATATATATATATATATATATATATATATATATATATATATATATATATATATATATATATATATATATATATATATATATATATATATATATATATAAAGAGCAGTTTTTACTAAGTTTATTATTGTACCTCCGTTACCTTGAAGCACTTGAATCATATTTCGTCTTAAAAATAAATATGGTTTGTGTATCTTTTAGTTTTTAAAAACAATTCGTTTTACTCAATAAAAATTAAATCCTTTATCTGAGCACATAAAAAGTTAATTTACATTACAAAAAATTATTAAATAAAACTTTTGTAAAAAATGGTTAATGTGCTTAGCCAAATAACTGATAACGCGTGACTTCAAAAGACTTTTTGGATATAGTAGAGTATTTGTATTTTTTTTTTTTTTTTTTTTTGCTTATCTTTTATGCTTATCTCATAATGACTCGATTTACTTTAACGGTTTCCCAGTAAATTATCTTTTCAAAATTTTTTTGAAAACTTGACCAGTATTTTTTCTGAAGAAGTTTTCAAAAGTTTTTTGTTTATTAAAAAATTTGGATTCCATACATGCGTATAAATAATAATACTGGGTTAAAATATGGATTCCATACGCAACATTAATAATAATATTGGATTAAAATATGAATTCCATACTTGCGTATATAGTTCAATATTCTATTCCAATTTTGCTCTTGACATTGCGTGTGAAATCCATATTTTAATTTAAGATTATTACTAATAAAGTTGTTAGAGATCGATAAATCTTCGAACTTCTCTATCTATGAGTTCGCATGCTAGGCTGAATGTTTCTGAATGTTCAGACATTAAAATAGACTATTCATGAGCTGGAAAGTGTGGTTGAAAGCAATCCACTACACCAAAACTTAGGCAAAAGATACAAAATATGGCCCATAAAAACACAAGAACCAACTGTAAAAAAATTATGATTGAATTAGCTGAGGAAAGTGTACTTTTAAGCCGTCACACTGTAAACAACCGCCTTTGAGAAATTGGACTAAAGGCATATCGACCAAGAGAAAAAACCAGGTTTGTGTTTATTGTAGTTATTTATTGTGTTTACTTAGATGCACCTAGAAGTCCTTATGGTCTTATCACAGAGTACTGCGAAAGAGTATTTAATTAGAAGTTCATGGTGCCTTTTGTACCAATGTTGCTTGTTGGGCTGGAGTCGGCGTTGAACCTCAGACCTCTGCGTTCTGAGTCAAAACTCTAGCCACTCCACCACGGTTGCTTGACAAATCGAATGAAGGCTCAGTGATATGAGTGGATCAAGGAGCAAGAGACCTTTACAGAAAATACTTGGAGCAAGATATGGATACAAACACCCTTTTCATAAGTAGCTTTTCAAAATTCTACTTGCATGATTCGACTAAAATGTAGAATTATGTACCACATGATTTTAAATATGATAACATAATAAGTGCTGAATATTCAATTTTTGTTTGAAGGGTCACTTCTCTTTCAGGTGGTCTTTTCTGATGAGTCCATAAATGCAGTCTTAGAGTCCAGACAGTTTAAAGAAAGTCAGAAGAAGAGTTTAAACTTGACTGCTAAAAGATGACTGTGAAATTTCCAACAAAAATTATGGTCTGAGGAGCCATATATCTTTGTATGGCACAAGTCAACTAAGCATAGTTGAGAATTGGAGAAATTTAAAGGAAACGTTTGCGAAAAGTTTTATAAAAATCATAATAGTAACGAAATACTTAAGCAAAAAATCAATAAATAACTTATTGGGTAAATGGAATGACGCGCATTAAAACTTTAAATTTCCAAGAAATTAATTTTTTTAAAAAAAACCCTCAGAAATGCGTAGTCTGATTTGCTGATTTAAAAAAGATAGGCACGCAGATTTTTGAAATAAGTAGTGTTATTATCAGTGCTCTAAAAAACTCTCCAGACATGAATTCAAATTGATTTAACGGTTGGTTCTGGTTTCCATAGTGAAAATATTAAAGAACTTTGATTGAAAACATTTGATTAAAAATATTAAAGAAGTTTGCTTTTGTCTGCGTCTAACCGTGTTAATAATCTAAAACGACCTAAAGTTGGCTAAACTAAGTACTGAAATGTTTGGTGGACTACTTGAAAGAGATTTTAAATATGTTCTTATTTTATTTATTTTTATATACTTTTTTATTTTTTTAAATTGAAGTTGAAAATTTCTATAATAATATTGTTCAATTATAAAACTTAACGTAAACACCTATTACATATTAATTATTTATTTAACATAACCAAAAAAATTTAATATTAAAATACCTATAAAATCTGTTTTCATTGAAGTTTTTTTTATAGGCTGTACACAATATACTCAGAATGGAGCTTGTTGCGTTTTTCCTTTTTTTTATGAAGGGCAGACAATTTCTGAATGTATACCAGATTTTAATGGCTCATTGTGGTGTGCAACAACTTTTAATTATGATGACGACCTTCAGTGGGACTATTGTTTAGGTAAGAATTAATTATCATACAAAATTCTATTTATTATTAGAGTGCAGTGACGTTGTGGGATGCTATCAAGAGGAGGACGTATAGTAATAACACCATAGGTCTTTTTCTTGATAGGATTGCTTGCTCGATCAACCGTTTTGTTCAAATAGGCCATTTTGCATATCATGAGATTCAACGTGTTCTTGAACAGACCGTTGACTCAAATGAAAATGTAATCAATGACAAGCTAGAATAAATACAGCTTAAAAATGATTTCGGCCTAGTTTCGGTCTTCGGGGAAGTTAAAGTAACCGCTAATTATATGGCCTTGAACTTGAACCGCTAATTATATGGCCTTGAACTCTTTGTTGTCGTTTTTGCACACACAAGAGTACTAAAACAACAAAGCAAGTTTTTATTGTTGTTGTATATATTCTATAATTGACATTTTGATAAATAAAAAGAGAGTTTTTTCAATATTAAGTTGTATGATTGTTTTTAAGACTTTGTCACAATATGTTTATATGGCTTAACGCTCAACAAGTATTTTTAACCAAAGTTTCCCTCAAAAAAATATAGGTTTTTATGTGTGGAGGTTCTTGTAGGAGTTTAAGCCAGAGATATTGTGAGAGTTTGTTTTGCTGTAGCTAGAATAGTAAGAATAGCTGTATAATAAAACTGTAAAACTGTAGTAATAAAACTAGTAGCTAGAATAGTAAGAATAGCTGGTTGATTTTGCGTTTATGCCGCTCTCGACTGCTGTCTAATTGGTTTTGACTCTTGCAAGTGCTTCTTTCGAGTAAACGAACGTTGTTGAGCTCGTATGAATAAACGTCTGTATTCTGTATTGACAATAGCTAGAGGAACATTGCTAGTTGCAAATTTAATAACAATAGACGGTTGAGTTTGTCGAGTTGGTTCAGCTGTAGTTGAAAAAATAGATTTGCTAGTGTTTGGCAGCGATTTGTTTTTTTTTTTTTTGTTAGAATTGGCGACTAGAATGTGTCATACATCTTTGAACAGCTTCAACTTAAACTATGTAGCAGCTTGCACAGTCGTGAAATAGTGTTAAACTGAGTTAAAAGGTTTATAATCAGGAACCATCAAGATTGGAAAATTCCAGAACAAATTTGAGTTCACGATGAGCAACCAAGTGTCTTCGAGATCTTTTAAACATCTGTAAAATGAAAGAGAACCTCCAGCTTATATTTATTTTATCTAATAAAGCATGAGAATTGTATATTAAGCTTTAATTAAGCTAAGTTCTGAACAACATATTAATGATATCTGCCGCAACTTTTCGTACTTGTAGAATTGTTATTTATTTTGTAATTTTGTACTTATATGTAATTTAGAGTGTTATGATGTAACAATAAACTGTTATATGCCTTAAAACATGAAATTGTTTGAAACTTTATCCATACTCAAAAATGAAAATTTTGAATTTTTGGTTTGTGGGTGACCTTTTTTAAGAAGAAAATTTAATTAATGTGTATTTTTTTTTCATTATTTTTGTACAAATGTTCATCAATTTATTAACCAGGAATAAGAGGTCACAAAAAAGTCAGACAACAGGCATATACAATTTAAGTGCCAGGTCCATAGTTTTTAAAAGAAAAATATTATTTTAAAACTTGATCAAGTGAATGCATGGAATTATTTAGGTTCAAGCAATAAACTGTTTACAAAATGCATATCTGTAGTTTAAGCTAAATATATAAAAAGATAGTAATCTGTGCTCTAAAAGCATATACTATTACACTTGTTGTTACCAAAAAATATTTTAGCATATTAGTTGTAGCAATACTAAAGGCGTGCCTTTATTTTTTCATTATAACTTTGATATAGAGGAGCATCATATAAGCAAATGCTTTATTATTTAAACAATTTAATGTTTACTCTGGTAGAGCATAAATGAAAGCGTTTCATTAGAATATTTGTACGTGTGTAAAGACCCTTCACGTCCTTGGTTATATCAAGATCATAGATTAGGCCATTTCTAACTATATGACCAAGGTAAAAAATTCAACAAAAGCAATTTTACAGCCTGAAACGCATAATTTTGGGAAGGAGTTTGATAAAATTTTTAATTTTTGAGTTGGATTAAACACCAAACTTTCAGTTTTCTTTGTGTTAAAGGAAATGTTAATTAAAGAAGACTCCTTATTTGTAAAGCTAATTCTTTTTTAAAGAGAAAACCAAGAAAATGCAATTTAAACCATATCATCAGCGCAAGCCAACACATTCATGAAGATGCCACCTATATGACATCCAATACGTAGGTTCAAGGTTGATACAAATAAAATTGCGTATGTAAAACTTGAATAGAAGAATTTGAATATTGAAGAAGTTGAATATACTTCTTTGACGGACCCAATTTCCAACTCCAAAACTATTTGATTTTGTTTTTTGCCATTTAACAGACATTTGTTGATCACTTTACCAAAATGCAAGCAAACAAACAAGTTTTTCGGGTAACCCATAATCTTGTAATTTCCGAAACAAGAGCCAGTATTTGACACTGTCAAATGCTTTACTAAAGTTTATGAAACAAGCAAATACATGGCTTCCTCTAGATGTGTAGTCCTGCACAGTTTTTTTTAAATAGTTTTTTTTAACTAAAAAGCCAAATTGGTATTCATCATTTTTATTAACGATGTACATAATAAAAATCAAATATTTTTATTTCTTACAGAGAAAACAGCTATGGCTCTATAGTTGTTCATATCTGTTAAATTAGTTGTTTTAGATTTTACTGGTAGAATAATCGTGGCCTCACAAAACGTATATGGTAAATAACCATTTTTAATGCATGAATTAAAAAAAAATACTGATAAAAAGCTGCAGTCTACCTGCACCGTACATAAAATATTCCATACAATATTCTAGAGGATCAGTTGTTTTTCCTAGTTTTTGAGTTTTCATTGCAGTAGATATATCAAACCAACTCACAATAATATCAGATTTTCTGTAGAAAGGTCCATTTCCTTTATAAAGCTTAGGTAATATTTTTCGTTGTTAGTTGAGTTATACAATTTGTGAAAGTGCCAATATAGTAGGTTGTATTGTAGCCATTTGTTTTAGAATAATTCAATATTGTAAGTAGTATTGTAGCTATTTGTACTTTGTATTGTAACTATATTTTCAGTAAGTAGATAGAGTGCTGCATATATGGATTTCAATAAACAGTCTACTTTTTCTTCATAACGTCTAAGGAAGGCTTTGTCACAAATTTGCCAGTTGGGAGTTCTAGTTGACATATTAAAATGAGGTTTGCTGTTATTTATTTTAGATAAGTTTGCTAATGAGCAAGAAATCAGAAAGACTAATGGTTTATGTTCTAATGAAATAACATTATTTAAAACTGATACAGATATAATTAGATTATCAATAAATAGACTGCATAGAATGTGATCCCACCACGAAGAAATGGATCCATCATCGCTGACATAAGTAAAGACATTATCTAGACAATTGATATTAGATTTAATCAGTTTATTTTCTAAAGCAACGTTAATAGAATCCATAATTACGATTAATTGCGGATTCTATAAAGAATTCTGAGCAATAAATGTGTTCATAGCATCAGTTTCCATTATAAGCGATTTATTTTTTGAGCATATATCCATATAAGTATGAAGACAATATTTATTATTATAATTTGTTGGCATTTACACATTTATTAGCTAATTTGGCTAATTAGTTAATTATATTTATATAATTAGTTAATTATATTTATATAATTAGTTGATTATATTTATATAATTAGTTGATTATATTTATATAATTAGTTAATTATATTTATATAATTAGTTAATTATATTTATATAATTAGTTAATTATATTTATATAATTAGTTAATTATATTTATATAATTAGTTAATTATATTTATATAATTAGTTGAAGACACTTTTAAACAATTGGTTTTAAAGATTTAACGATTGTAATGATCATCATCATTTAATGATTGTAATTACCATCATTGTTTTCGATAAAAAATAGCTGTCCCTTTAAAGGGTCTATTAATTAGTATATCAGATGAAATGTTTACTGCTGATATACCAGTATCATAAAAGTCAGGATGTATATTGTTTAATAACCCAAGCCCTTTGGGTAATAACCAAGCCCATTGGGTAATAACCAAGTCCATTGGGTAATAACCAATGCTCTTGTAATAAAACAAGGTCGTATATATGACACAAATCTCTAATTGCAAATACAATATTTTTGAAAGAACGACAGTTATATAAACAAAAATATATACCGTTGCTATTGTCCATTTTTAGGTTTAGAATATTTTCATACCAGTAGACTTTTAAGCCAAGCTTCAGTAGACATTAAACATGCAACTTTATTTTTTACCTGGTAGTAATCCACAGATACAGTTATATAATACCTGGAATGACCACGAAACTTGGATTTTAATTTTTAACACTTTACAGAGTCATCATTTTCAATTTTGAAAATATCTTAAGTGCAATCGATAACCTCATTTTCTGTTGTAAAAGGAACTAATCTTGAGACAAATATATCAATATTTCGCTTAGACTTAAACCTATTGCTTTATCTAAAGAGATGGGTTTAAGTCTATTGTTAGAGTCTGATGTACCTAATATAAGTTTTTTTGAATTGATAACTTTTGTATCTACAGGTAGATTATGTGCTTTCATCGCCCTGAAAATTTAACAGGTTTATTGCTAGTAAAAGAATGGCTTTCAGTATTACCAATGATATCAAGGCTAATAGAATTGCTAGGATCATTTTGGTTTTTATTGCTAGAAGATTCTTCATTGCTCATTGCACTCATTAAATGTCTTATTTCATTCTGGAATGTTGTAAATTCTTTTACCTCAGATAGAAGGTAGGTAACTTCCTGAAGCAAAGCACTGATATCAATATGCTCCGTACCAACAGGAGGTAGATGAGACAAATTAATAGCATAAAAGTTTGGTAATTTGTTTATTGGGTCTACAAGCAGCTTTATCGTATATTTTACAGTTTTTTTGCATATAAAATTTGC